GTCTTCCTTTTTTTATATCGGGCGATGGATACATCTCTCTTGGTTACACATGGTGGTTTCTACACTTTCCGTCTTGATATCAGTGGAAAAGCCAAATGGTTATAACTAGAATTTTTGAGAAAAAATAAACGCATTATTCAAATTCTCAAAAGGAATAGGAGAGGTCGCATTGTGTCGAAAAATTTGGTGGCGATATAGAAAACTAGACCCAAAGAGCAAACTTTAAAAATTTACAGAACAGAATAAACAGAACTTTAGTGAATCGTGCCTACCAGATTCCTGGCAATGTTAGTCATAGGTTTAGTAATCAATTAGAATCGTATATTTTAACATTACCAGGAGTCTGGGGTTGGCCCCTTTATCTCCTGGGAATTATATACATCCAGGGTTTTTTTTTTACAAAACTCATCTCTAAGATTAGATCGTTATTGTTACCTGAGTGAAACGACAGCTCAGAGTCCTGAAATTCTTATTTCGTCTCACAAGTGAAGTAGAAATATGCCGGTAACTCGAGATTTGGCTAACTCTTCGACCGATTCCTCAAAAACTCCAGACGCAAGCTTGAGGCGCTTATTATCCGCTTTATTTTAATCTGCCGAGAAATACAATTTTCGGAGAGGACGGTAAGATTTTGGAGTCGGTAATCGGGTGGCGCGCTTAATAATAATCGTGAACTCTGAACCCTGGAATGAGATCTGCCGCGGGAGCGATGAGGGTATTAAAAAAAGCAGGCGGGCCAGGTTGTCGGATTTCAAATTAATTATACGAAAATTATACGATGCCGTAGGGTGAGTTTATCAAATGTTCAAGCAGTTGAATTATTTCGAATCAGTGTGACTTGATTGCCAGAGAATAAATAACGGCAATAGGTACAGGCGGTCATATTTTAAGTTGCAAATTGACAAAATCATATATCCTTCCTGGTTGTTTGTTGGTCTATAATAACGTAAATTTTTCAAACAGAGTCGATGCTAAAATTGAAAATCCGTGTTTACTAGTGAAAAACCTGGGGAAATACTTTTCCTGATCGCGACGTTTAGAAATTAAAAAATTGTAATGATCTCAAATTTTTTTCAGATCAAAGACTGTGGAGGAGTTCTTAATATGTGACGCATTTATTACAATTGTACCCCCACTGACCTTTGCATTACGGGTGCGTCACAAGGGGGAGGGTAAAAATCGGGAAAAGTGCGTTACTTAATGCTTGAATGGCCCCTAATTGTAATTAAAAGTAAAATTCATGAATTTACGCAGTTCATTTAAAAGAATTGATTCACGATCGATTACGGAGCCAAACCGATTATACGGAAAACGAAGGGTTTGTTAAATTAATTCCTTATTTTATTTTTAAACTATCACATGTTTATTTTCTCAAAACCCCATGTTTACTCTTACTACTGTTCTTTATGACACAGCAGTATCAATGATATATAATCTCCATTTGCTGGATGTAATTCACGCATGGGAGCGATCTTTGCGTAGGAAACCTGGGTGAGCAAAAGCTCATTTCAGTTGACGATCGTAAATTAGCTTGCGGTTACAAGCGTCAGCGAGGGTAGCCGAACAATGAGCCAGGATCGCAGTGACGGATGCTGGGCTGGGCTTTTCCTCGTGATAATGTTAAGGACAAACTCGTGCATGTCCTAGATGATCTTCATCTCCCTATTAATTTCTGTCTATTAGATGATACAGAATGGAAACTAAACTGATATTTCGTCGCTCCTCTTACGTAAGGGCATATCTCAATATCATCGTGAGCCCTGTTCTCCGTATACCACTATGCTCCCCGGGGCTCAAGTGGAAATATAGATACGTCCAACACGTCAAAAGAGCGACGATTTGGACCGAGTTTGACAGAAACGCACCTAGTCACCAGCGGCGTGGCGTGATTTGCGATAGATCGATTGTTATGCCATTTGAAGCTATGGTAAAGGATCGATAAACAGGGTGTTCGCAGCGAGTACCTTAATAATCGATTCTTTACCATAGGTTTAAAAGGCAGATCAATCGATTTATCGCAAAGCACGCCCCGCCACTGCTAGTCACATCGAATTTAAACGGAGAAAAAGAGATTTGAGGACGGGGCCGGATTTACTTGCTTGCCGCCCATGGACCGCCTGTATTTTGCCGCCATCTTCTCAATCGTATTTTGAAACATCAATAAAAACCATCAAGTGAACGTGCCGGAGGGAGAGGGGTGCATAAGACGCGTTTACTCGTGTTGGACACATTTTTTGCGAAAGTGCTGACAACGCTACTAGCAAAAGTTCACGTTACTTGGCGCGAAAGTTAAGTTCCGTAAACCTACCTCTGTGTAGACAAGGCCTTCCATTTACATGAAATGATCAAAAATATTATGAAAGAACAAACATAAATGTGCTTTAATAATTTTAACTTCCGCCGCCGCGCCGCACTGACCGTACTATGTTTGGCGCAATGCGTGAAGTATTCCTACAATCTTGTATGTGCTATGCGTTTCACGCCGACCGCTGCTGGCACTAAGTTTGACGTAATGCGTGAAGTATTCATGCTGTTTTGTAGGCGCTATGCGTTTCACCGCTGCTGACCACAGCGATCGCACTGTCTTTGATGCAATGCGTGAAGTATTCATGCAGTTTTGTAGGCGCTAATATGTGGTACATGCCGACCGCGCGCCGCGCAGAGGGTTTCTTCTGTTCATCTTAAGTTCTCGTCATCATTGCTCTTTGCGCCTTGCCGTTCAAGGCCAAATTCTGTGTTCGGTTTCTCTGTTAGTCTTAACTCGACTAATTTAAGGTGCTGTCTATTGTATCACAGGAAGACGACAAAATTAGAGATATACTCTCGGGAAATGAGAGATTTTGTCACTTTCTCTCGTTGATAATTGTTTCTCTGAATCCGATTTTTCTTTATAACTACATTTAAAAAAGTTGCAAAATTTGCCGCCATTGCTCTTTGAATAATTTTTGAAACTCTAACTTTGAATGTGACCATGAATTTTAATAATTTTAGGGAAACATTTTCTCAACTTAGGCAATTATGGTAGAGTAATCGAGCATCAGCAAAATTATGTGGTCGACGAATCCACGATATCTAGCAGGGTTCATTTTGGGCAGATTTTAGCGATGATTCCTTCTTACTTTTTTCTATAACTGTGCCTCCTTTCTTTTCTATAATATCAGTTGCATTTTCCCTAGAGCTACGCTTAGGAAAATTTTTTTAGACCTTAAAATGATGGTCAATTTTACTTTTTTCCACAACCATATACAGGCTTATTTTTAGTAAAACTAAGCGATTGTTATACCTAATCATTCGCAGACGTTTTTTACGTTACCGATTACCATTGTAACGCCAGATCGATCAGTTTAATTATTCTTCGAATCCGCGCTGTTCTATTGTCTGTGGTGGCCATGGCTATGCCGAGCAGTTAACACTTGAAAATGTCACACAAATGACTGCAAGTTGCGCCCAGGTGATTTATCTCCCTAGAGATAAATGAGAAATAGCGCACTCGTTGTTCAAGTCGGAACTTAGTCGCTCAATCCTCAGGAACAACGGCGTGTAAACACTGAAAGGTTGCCAAATTTCCCCCAACAAAATATTAATACTCTAGGAAAGTGATGAGTATTTTCCCCCAGAATTTTCAGATACGTTAAATTTAATTGAGAATAAAACCCCATGAAAAATCCCCCGAAAAATTGGCGAAAATCATCGAGAAAGTGCGAATGTTATCGATTGAAACTTGGCAACGTTTGGATCTACATACGTCTTTTTACCTTAGAATGGTGGAATAGAGGCTGTGCTGCACGAGCTGCGGTGATAGCGGCATTATAGAGGTTTGCGGACCATTCGCTGACATCGGATAACCATCAGTGGCGTCAGGACTCACAGAACAGATTTTAATCGGAGTGTTATGTGCGCTTAGCTTCATTGTGGGTACATTTTATTGCTCTCTCGAATAGCTTCCGTGTTAATACCTACTTCACACGGTAGATTATCAGGCGAGAGAGACAAACTGCACGAGATGCGGTCAAGTTTTGAGCAGACAAACAGTATTCCACGGATACACGACAATTAATACAATTTTACTCAATAATTATTTTAAAAAAAAATTACGGACAGTCATCTGAAGGAGCAGTTTGTCTCTTAAAATTGCGCGCATCTTTAAATTTCACTCGAAGAAACCAGAATTCAGCGCATTAGTCATTGATTTTTTGTAGATGTCGATGACTTAACTCTGATAGCATATATCTAAAAATCACAAAGTTGCTATTTCCCTCGCATTTCATTTTTGAAAAGAAAAATAACTCATTTTGGTTCCTTGAAATTTTCTTTACCTCGTTCTAATTATTCCTCGTTGATTTCAAGCAATAATATTTGAGGAGCTTGGAGGACAAGGCGCATGAGTGTAGTTTTTTTTTTTTTTTTTTTTTTTTTTTTTTTTTTTAANTTTTTTTTTTTTTTTATTTTTTATTTTTTTTTTAAATGAGATTTTAATGATTTCAAGTAATATCCAGTCTAAATGCATATTCTGGGAGAAATTCGCTCTCAAATACCAATTTTCAAACATCAAAAAGTCAGTTTGAACTTTCTTTCCGCCATTAGGATCCGTGTAATTTCGAAACTTTGAATACCTACGTATTTCTCGAAATAGCGAAAACAGCACCTATGCGCTTTGTCCTCCTAAATCTCTTATTTGGTGTTTTTTTTTTTTTTTTTTTTTTTTTTTTTTTNTTTTTTTTTTTTTTTTTTTTTTTTTTTTTTCAAAAAAAAATATCATTAAAACTTTATTCCAGAACTGAGAGGGTAATTCAATTTTAAGCAACATAAAAGCAAATTGATGCTGCATTCGTAAACCGGTCACAGAGAGCAAGTGCTTTTTACTAATACTACATTGCCCACACCTGTTCCGTTAATTAGCCGTCAAGAGATAAAATTTAGACTAACACCATGTTTTACTCTTGTTAATTCAATCTGATGAAATGATTCTAATGCAGTTTATCTTCATATTTTTTTTACAGCAAACTTGCTTCCACCACATGAATCAAAGTCGGCAGCTTTTGAGAGAGCTCAGGAACTATACATAAATTAACCGCCGGTAAGTGCTTAACAAAAACCTTAAAATATGTGACATTTTGTCCCAGTAATCTTTTCGTTGACCTCAAGAAATTGCATGTCGAGTTGAGAGAAAATCTGAGAGGCTTGGAGGATAAGGCGCATAAGGGCAATTTTTTTCAAAAAATTGAGACTTTAATGATTTCAAGTAAAACTAATCTTAAGGCCTATTCTGTGAATAATTCGCTCCAAAATCCCAATTTTTAAGCATTCCCTGGTAAAAATTGGCAGTAGAATCTGTGTTCTAAAATACCATAGACCTACAGCCGGCTGTAAGATTTCCAATAGCTTCTATAGCCGGCTACACAATTTCTCATAGCCTTTTATAGCCGATGGCGATTAAGCAACAGCCAGGCGATAAAGCGTATGCTAAACGTTACTAATTACGGATGCTAAGACTTATTGAGTTTTTGGACTACCGCTCTATTTTCGGGCCGTCATATCTTGATTTATTTTGCGCGGAAAGCTGCGTACTTTTGAAGAATGCCTGCCATTCGTGATATGTTGGAGCGCCTTCAATTTCGTATGATACTGTGCAATACCTCTGGTGTGAAATAGTTGCTTCAAGCGCCGTGGCACGCTGCGGCGCGGCGGGCGGGTAGCCAGCGCGAAAAGCGCATTAGCGCCTAAAAACCTAACAGAGATACTTCACGCATTGCGCAATGCGTGAAGTATCCCAGTTAGGTTTGTAGGCGCCAGTGCGCCGCCGCTCCGCTTTGTGTTAGGCTCTAATATTTAATCTGGCGGAGTCAGCGTTATTCAACTCATGATTTTGAAATGTTTGCACATCCTGTATGGATTATTCACATTTTAATTGATGAAAAAAAATATATATTAAAGGAAAATATAATGTGTGTTTTGTAAATATTAAAGTGGTTCCGTATCAAACTTAATGATTTCCAAAGCACACGAATTTCTACACAATGGGCCTGTTGCAAACTTTTGCTAGAGCAGAATGAAGAGTTGTTTCCTATAGATAATGCCTCAAAAATCACGATGAGCGCATCGGCAAAGTCTGAAATGCACTCATAACTTCACAATCTGCGTAAGAAATTTGCGTTATTTTGAGCTTCCCGCTTCAAAAACGATACTACTGCACAGGTGAACATTTTGTTAGAGGAGTCGCTCCATCGTCGGCAATATTCATCATGGCCGACGCTTGCGCAGTTCCTCGCGTAATTCGAGGAGAGTTCAAGGTCAATTAAGGCGGGCGAGGAAAATATGAACGTAAACACGCCGATTGTTATATGATTTAATCCTGTTCAAGTGTTATCTCGTCCCATCACACGTGTTTTGGCGGACTGGCGTCGGCCATGATGAGTATTGTCGCCAATGGAACGACTCCTCTAACAAAATGTTCACCTGTACCGTAGTATCGTTTTTGAAGCGGGAAGCTCAAAAAACCGCAAATTTCTTACGCAGATTGTGAAGTTATGAGTGCATTTCAGACTTTGCCGATGCGCTCATAGTGATTTTTGAGGCATTATCTGTAGGAAACAACTCTTAGTTTTGCTCTAGCAAAAGTTTGCAACAGGCCCATTTCTTATAGCCTTTTATAATCGATGGCTTAATAGCAACAGCCAAGCGATAAAGTGTAAAGCCCGGCGATAGGAACTATATCCCGGCTGCATAATTTTTTGTCGCTTCGTATAGCCCGGCCGTATGATTTTCTCCGCATACTACAGCCAGCTATATCATTTTCTGTAGCATTCTTCAGCCGGCTATAAGAATTCCTATGATATTTTGAAACGCAGCTCTTATTGCCAATTTTTACCAGGGTTAAAAAGTCAATTTGAACTTTCTTTCCGCCGTAAGGATCCGTGTAATTTCGTAACTTCAAAGACGTATTTCTTGAAAGAGCAAAAACTACACTTATGCGCCTAGTCCTCCGAGCCCCTCATCTGAAAACGAGGGGCCTTTAAGATGCATGATTCGTAAAATTTTAAGTTTAAATTTCCGTCACGTTTTATTAAATTAAGTGTACGTACATATAAAACGAATTGATTTTTCTCATTGGCGAAACTAGAACAGGACTTACTTTTGATTACCGTAAACAAATAAAAAGTGACGTCCTCTTTACCTTTTTTTTTTTAAAGTTTTTACCTCTTTTACAACGGCGTTTAAAATGTTATTATTTATCGAATGGAGAACTTTCATCTGCAAGGAACCAACTATAGGTACTTTTACTTTTTGCAGAAACAATAAAACCGCACGATTGATCCTCCGATACGAACAAATAAGTGATTTTTTTAAAACTTGCTTTTTGTCCCTTTTCGATAAAGCTGGCCAAATTATGCACTTATGCAGGAGGTGAAGGAGCGCTCACCGATCAATGACACTTGGGGCTCCTTTTTGTACAAGTGTTCCTCATTAATACCTCACCAAGCTGAAGTTAATCCAAGCAATGCGCTTCTTCCCGCATTTCCTTATGCCTCCTCCGAGGTCGCAATTCTCGGAAATTGTCGCTTACACCTTATTCAAATTTAAAATTCCGTATCTGTCTGTTCACTTACTTTCTCTTTTAAAATTTAAATTCATACGTATATCGTATTCCTGCAGAACCTACATGAGGTCGATCGCTGAGATTTTTTTTCGGTATCGATCTCCGTTACAAAACGTCGTTGCATAGTTGCCGATATCAGTCACTTCGGTGACCTCTTTTTCGCATCTCTTTTGAATGATTGAACAGGAATAAATGTTCGAATCCGGCAAAATATTTCTCGTAATTCAAAGGCTAACGTGGGCACGTCTTAATTTCTGAAGTCTCACCGTGTTTATTTGTATCGCGTGGAAACACTTTATCATCATATTATTCAATTATACTCGTGTTTTAGAGTACACAAAAATTTGTGAAAAAAGAAACCAAATTATTTCTGTACGTTTGACCATCAAATTCAGTAAAATTAATATGTAATCATAATGGTAGATTTCTATTCGTGCGACCGACTAATTCCGTGCTGATAGGCAGCGGCAATTCTTGAAAGTTTGCAACACTGTTTTTACTCTATTTAAATGTATGTAAAATAATCGATTCTTTGTGAAGCAGCATAATCTACCTGAAATCGATATTTTTAATGGATTTAAATGGAGGAAAAACGGTGTTGCCAACTTTGAAAATTGCCACTGCTGAGGCTGACAGACCATTCTACTGTAGAAGTGTAAAGAAGGTAAAAAGTAAAGTATCGCAATACATGGTATCCCGTCAATAATCATCATGTTATTGAAAATACTTAAAAAATCAATTGATAATCCGTTACGGTATAGAATCATTCCAATTCACACTTCCCGCATCCAAAAAACAAAACTCAAAGTAGGTCAAATCTATTAATGAGACTAAATTATAGGTTCGTAGAATTCAACTCTAAGACTTTCCTATACTTCTTCGATTCATAGTAATACTCAAGTTGTCAAAAGCTTGTCAGCTTCCTGAAAAACTAATCCTCCTCTGAAGAACAATTTAACACAATTAAGCACGGTTTCGAGCAGTGACTCGACATACATTAGAGCAAAAAACCAAAGAAAATTCACCTAATCTATTTCAAGCAAATCTGAACGTTGACTTCCGAAATAAGTAATTTTTACGCTGTAGGAAAGGTATAATGGTGCGGGATAAATGCTGATATGTCATCTTTGTCCAAAGTATGTTTTAAGTGAAATCTCTATGAGCACGCATGGATTTTCGTGCTCAAATTCTCAACCAATGTAATGAACTATTAACTCATTCGATCGGATGCGAGATTCAAACCGCATTTAAATCAAGCTTCGGTATTTTCGCGACGGTTTTCCCTGAACACCTGCTCTGATGCCGCAACACTTCTTGAGGCCTGTCACCAGGGACCTCCAACAATAATCTGAAAGATGGGTCCGGGGTTAGGAAAAGGTTGAAGTACGATTGGAAATCAGTAATGTTTAATGGTCGTAATTCACCTTCGCGACCTTTCCAAATACGCGGTGCCATGCTCCGGCCATAGCGCCATTGCCAACTTGGAACAAAGTTTGTAGCCGAAATAGTGTCGTAAATCATAGGAGCCTTGGTCGAGTGGTTAGAAAAGTATTCTGCCCTCCTAAGAAAGAGCTCAGGGCCGTTATAGTCGTTTCTTAAACGACTCCTTTCCTTAGAGGCCCCATATGGTTTATATCTTATAGGCGGACCCATAGGTACTTGGAACGAGGTCGGAAGTGGGGTCCGGAGGGCTTCCCCCGAAAATTTTCGAAATTGTAAATCATCTCACGAGCAGTTTGAGTCAATTTTGTCATGAATTTTACCGTATCTGAGCCTCCTTCCATCTCCTTTCCTCTGTTCCTGCCTTCTTTCTTTATTCTTCCCTTTTTCTTCCTTCTTTTTTCGGGCGCGCGAGGTGGGGGGTACGCCTTCTACGCCCCCCTTGGATCCGCCTATGATTTATATTGTGATGAAGGGAGATTTGAGGGAATAATTAACATTCCACCATAAAAAGGACAATTTTAACAAATCTCGAGTGAAATTCAAAAGAATGACTTGGGAAATTGATTTTCTCGATTGCAATAATTATAAAATGGGGGAAAAACTTTCTTGGTTTTTACGAATCTACCTTAAAATTTTCAAAATCTGCAGCTAATGTGGTTATGTATTTTTGTCAGTCAAGCAACGAATTGAGCCAAACGATTCGATATACAGTCACATCAGTCTAAAAAAGTTTCAAATTTGACTCGATTAGGTTCTCAAAATGAAAACAGAATATTATCATTTCCAACAGTGTAGTCTCACAACACTGGTCTACAATAGTTACAGACCACAGGACCTCACGGAATTGGTTCAGTCGAAACCCGAACGTTAAAAATTTTGCCGACCAAAAAATCGCAAACTGTGTATGAAACCTACCGGGTGGGCGTTATCAACGCAGTCTCCTCCTCCTGTTAAGTGGGTTTATGCTTTTTTAATCTCCCGGGCCTAAGACCTTGGGAACGATTGCGAAAGGACTAATCCTTACGTTCATTTATTAT